AGAACAGTATTGACTGGCCCGAATCCGACCCATTGACAAACATAGGCTAAATTTAATCTTTTTTGTTAAATAGACATAGGATAAAAAATTTCACCATTTTTTGGCTTTGGGGTGTGATGGAATAAATCAAAATGGATCTCTAAACTGTCTGCGCTTCTTTAAATAATGAAGTAGCAGTTAGTCAAGCAATGCAACTTTCGACGTTGAGCCGGGGGTCTCTTTGGAAACAGCCTCTCTACTTTCGAGTAGGGGCAAGGTCTGCGTACACACACCCTCCCCAGACCCTACTCTTGTGGGATTTAACTGGGTTGTTGTTGTTGTTGTTGTTTGTTAAATAGACAACTTTTAATTTAAAGCTTGACTTGTACAGTGGCAGATCCAAGATTTAGAGGGACTGGAGGCAAAACTAGTATCAGGGTAGTGCTTGCGACTTTTAAAAAATCAATGTACAATTACAAAATAATTTTTTTGTTTCAATCAACATTCAAATAATTAACGAAAAACCTCAAAAGTACCCTCTATAATTTCACTTTCTCTTATAATTTTTACTTTCTAATTATATTGTAGTAATTTTATATATTTCACTTTTAAAAATATTTTATTTTAAGTTTAATTTTTTTTTTCTACTTAAAACATTTTTTCGTTATATTGGGGGCAATATAAATTTTTAGGATAATTTTTATGCATTAGTTAAAGAAAATAAAAGGTTTTATTGGGGGCAAGTGCTCGCATTCCTTAAAGTGTGGATCCGCACATGCACTTACATCTAAATTTCATCTTTCATATTTTTAATGGTAGACTTGTCAAATTAACATAGATGGAGTGCATTTAGCCAAAATAGAGGTGAGTATAGCAAGACCGGTAAAGAACAAATGGAAATAGAGTTCGATTATTGAAAAATAAAAGAGTTTATAGCTTATAATTGTTCCTATATTATCTAATATTATTTCCGTGGCCGTTCTATCATGTGGTTAACTATTTTATGGTCGTTCATAGGCGGAGTAGTATGAATTTTTTTCTTTAATTCCATACGAGTGTATTTTAAATACTTCAAATTTTCCATCCACTTTTTTTTCTGACCCATTTTCATTCACCTTTAAAAATCTAAATTGTGTACATTTAAATTTTTGTAAAATTTTAATAACTTTTAAATTTTTTTATTGAATATAACTAGATTTTTATTAATTTTAAAACACCTACACGTCTCATTATACGGAGTATAGGGTATCAGCCAAATATTTTTGTCAAAATTAATTGCCTGACAATTTTTTTTTTGTTATTTGTACCAACTAAAATAATAAATGGTTTGCAGTTTCTTTTAATTTCTAAAAAATGGCTTGAAAATATAGTTTACAAAACTATGTGTCATGTCAGCCACTATTTCTCATCTACGGTTGTGCCTCTGTCTTCTTCCTCCTTCATTTCCAAAGCTTAATCTTAATTTCTTTCTCTCATTTGTGCAGGCTTAGACCCAGATTTATTTTACCTAATATGCATGAGAATCTCTTTGTTTTTTTGATAAATTTGTATTTTTGAGGAGCCATGCCAAAGTCAAACGTTCCCTCATCAGTTTCTCAAAGGTATTTTCGTGGGACACTCTCCCATTTTAATGTTCTTTTTTAGCAAATTTATATGGGAAAATGGTGACATAATCTCTATGGAAATTACCATTTTTACATATTCTAGGATTTTTTATATATTGATTAATTTTGTAGTGTATATGTATATAAATATGCACGTATCATTACATGTAACTTTCACCTTATTCTTTCATTTTGCAATTATATGTTTATGATTTCATTTTATTGTTAGAATTTTGATTATGTTGACACTTTGGTTATGTTAGAATTTGGTAATGCTAGACATTTTGGGAAATTATGCAAGACATTGGTGGTTAATTAACTCACCATAACCACGGTTCTGAAACCATTTTATTATATTATGCAAATTCATATCTTTTCTTTTATGAATATTAACTTAATACATTCGCAGCGAGGATGATGATGGCGAAGAAAATGAAGAAATTGGGATTGCTGAAATTGCACCAAAACTTTTGTTTTGTTCATCCATCTCTCTCACTGCTGAAGGTAAATTCTTCTCCCCCTATATGTAAAATTATTTGATTCTCCTGAAACTCACATAACAAATTATTTTTCAGAGATGGAATGCTTAAGCATGGTAGGAAGTTCAATGAATGAACCTCCGAAAAGAGTAGGAGCAAAAGCTTTGAATAGAGAGGGCATTGAGGACGAAGAGAAGGTTAAAAGCAGTGAAGAAGAAACAATGAATGACAATAATTTCTGTGTTTGGCCAACCCCAGCAGATGGGAAGAGTCATTCTCAGTGGCATGGGTTTTTCAAGAAGCTAAAGAAAGGACAAGGAATGAGCTTGCACACATTCCATCCTAGCATACCGGCTCTGCCCTCCATGAAGAAGGCCCCAAAGAAAAGAATTCGCAAGAGTTTGCCCGCGCTCCCTGCTGAAATGGACGCGCAGTTAGTGCCTTCATGCTTTGAGACCTCATGGAAGAATTTCTCCCTTTCTGATCTACAAAAAATCACTAACAACTTTAGCCCAGGTACCATATACTCCCTCTATTCCATATTAACTGTCTATTAAGACTTTCTTGATACGGGAAAAATGAATGAGTGCAGACATACTGTATGTCTGCACTCATTTTTTCAATGTACGAAGAAAGTCTTAGTAGACAGTTAACATGGAATGAAGGGAGTCTTTCTTTGCTACGCGCTCATCCATTATTTCTCTCGTGTTCATATTTTAAAAGACAAAATATAATTTCTCTATGCATTCTTAGAAAATTTGATTGGAGAGGGAGGGTATTCCGAAGTGTACAAGGGACACTTGGAAGACGAACGGCTAGTGGCAGTGAAGAGACTGATTAGAGGAAGTCCTGAGGAGATGACAGCAGACTATTTATCAGAGCTAGGGATTTTGGTACATGTCAATCATCCCAACATTGCAAGTGTTATTGGGTATGGAGTTGAAGGTGGAATGCACCTTGTTCTGCCATTGTCACCTAATGGGAGCTTAGCAAATTTGCTTAATGGTCCTACACATATTCTTTCTTACTTCTAGTCATCACACCTCTCTCATTAATTTCCCACCTATTATTGTTATTATTAACAAATCTACATGTTGTTTTCCCGATTTTTAGACCAAAAGGAAAAACTAGTTTGGCAATCTCGATACAACATTGCTTTAGGCACGGCATCAGGCCTGTCTTATCTTCATGAAGGGTGTCAACGAAGAATTATCCATCGAGATATCAAAGCTGCTAATATTTTATTGTCGCAAGATTTTGAGCCTCAAGTATGATTTTTTTTAACACTCATTTCAATTTATTATTATAATCTTTTTGGAACACTGCTTTTATTTATTTATTTATGATTCAACGCTTGATTTGAAATTTGGGCTATAAAAAACCCATTGATGATGATGGACTTTTTGAATGACATGGATACAGATATCTGATTTTGGGCTCGCGAAATGGCTCCCTGATCAATGGACTCACCTCACTGTATCTCAATTTGAAGGCACATTTGGGTAGGTGGAAACCAAATAAAACATAAACCCCATGAACTCAGTTCTCCAATTATTTAAGCATTGTTTTTTTAATGAATTAATTCCTCCTCTTCTTCTTCATATCAGATATCTCCCTCCAGAGCTCTTCATGCACGGAATTGTGGATGAAAAAACTGATGTCTATGCTTACGGGGTGTTGCTGTTGGAGATAATCACAGGGCGACCTGCTTTGGATCAATCCCACAATAGCGTAGTGATGTGGGTATGTATGTGTGTATGTACGTATGGATGCTACCACATCAAGATATATAAATTCATGATATTGAAGTCATCTAAGATGGCTTTTGGCTGCGCTCTTCAGGCCAAACCTTTTTTGCTCAAAAGAAATATAGCAGAGCTCGCGGATCCAGCTCTTGGGGGAGTGTATGACTTGGAAGAGATGAATCGCATGGCCATGGCTGCTTCTTTGTGTATACAACAATCTTCTGCTGATAGACCTCCAATGAGCAAGGCATGTTATCCATCTATCTTTAAAACTTTAATACGAAGCGAATACTAATGATATATAACTCCCTCCAATCCTAAATAACAATTATGGTTTGAATGTATGTGGAAAAGCATTATGTCCACATTCATTTGATTTCTAATGTATCTTGAAAGTTATATCACACAGTCATTTAGGATTGGAGGAAGTATCTTGCTAGCATTAGTGTAACGCGTATGTACAGCAGGTTGAGAGAATGTTAAGAGGAGATGAGGACGCGTTGCAGATGAATTCAAAGTTCCAAAAGCGACATGCTCTTGGGAGGGGAAATGCGATGGAGGCATTCAATGAACACCTACTCGACCAGCCATCAACTTCAGCCGAGGACGCTACTTAGATGCATACATTTGTAATTAACACTTGATCACAACATTTCTCACTTAGAACGTGTAGATGTTTTTTCCAGCAAATTCTTTAGTTTTGAACCATTTTTTAGTGGAACCAAAGCGCTAACTTCAAGTGTAGATTCTTCTTGTCCCTTCACCTTGAAATGTGTAATGAAGGTCTAGTGTATCTAGTTATTGGAAAAATTATCTAAAATAATCTCAACTCTATCTGGTCTTTCAAAGTTACTAACGGCGAGATAACTGAAACGGTCTGTTTTACGCAACAAAATGAAAGTTAAGATTATTTTTGATGAATTTTTGTTTTTTAATTTTTTTGGAAATTTTAATTTAAATTTTTAAAATTACTTTCTAAAAAATAATGAAAATGAGAAATATAACCAAAACTACTACTTGTTATTTTTAAAAAATAACAAAAATAAGAAATATAACTAAAAGTCTAAAATCATACAAAGTTAATGAAAAAGTTAGTAATCAATAAAAATTATCGTGAAACTGGTAAGAAATAAAATAAAAATATAACTAAAAGTCTAAAATCATACAAAGTTAATGAAAAAGCTAGTAATCAATAGAAATTATCCTGAAACTGGTAAGAAATAAAATAAAAATATATGGAGTGATGGATTTTAACATTTTACACACTATACAGAGCATTAATGTACTACTTATTATTTTTAGGAAAAATTATCTAGAATAATCCTAACTTTACATGTTCTTTCAAATAATAAGTAGTACATTAATACTCTATATAGTGCGTAAAATGTTAGAGCACTCCACTCGTTATATTCTTATTTTGTTTCTTTTCAACTTTAGCTTAATTTTTATTGACTGCCTTATTTATTTCATTAATTTTGTATGGTTTGGGTTATTTTTCTCATTTTTGATATTTTTATATTTGTTTTTTTTATTTTTATAAGATAAGATATTTAAAAAAGGAAAAAGAAATTGATGTAGAAAGTTGTTTTAAAAAATTAAATAAAAGTTTTAAAAAAATTAAAAATGAAAATTCACCAAAAATAATCCCAACTTTCATTTTGTTACGGAAAACAGGTCATTTCGTTTACCTGCCGTTACCAAGTTAACGACAAACCAAAACTCACAAATTTTAGTAAAATTGAGATTATTATGCATTAGAAGGAAATATGGAATTATTTTTGAAAAGCAGAGTAAAGTTTGGATTATTTTGGTTAATTTTTCTTTAGTTATTTGAATATTTGGATGATTTTTAAAGTCTACTTTTGCATGCGTGAACAATATAAGGTCATATCCCTCTTTTGAATTTAGAAATGGTGCAAAATAATCTCACGTTTACCTTCGTACATTCAATCAACTTTAATCCCATTTGTCACAAAATGTTGATGTGACAATATTGTTTAATTTGCACGGAATGACAAATCCTACTGATGCATGTGAAAAATGAGATGGTCTAGTGAATAGTTTGAATCATAATCATAATCTTCATAATATGGTTGCATACAAACGAGTTTTAATTCTATCAATAAGACAATAAGATCTTATCGGAAGGTTGGCATGATGATATTTTTAAATATATTTATTTTTTATCATAGAAAAAGAGTACAAATACATTTTCAAACAAAGGCTAAAACACATATACAAGTATACATACACAAATATATATATATATATATATATATATATATATATATATATATATATTAAACAATATTGTCACATCAACATTATATATATATATATATATATCTTTTATATATATAAAGCAGAGTCGGAGCTATAAGAACGTGACATTTGGCAGAGCTAAAGCATGACATGTGGTAAGCTGATGTGGTGACATTTGGCAAAGTTAAAGCGCGACATGTGACGAGCTAATATGTCACCCTTTTAGACAAACCGATCGGTTTGACCGGTTTGACCAGTTCTTTTTTTGCAATTCTTTTCCAAAAGCATACTACCATGGGATTTGAAACAAGGATCTCTTGGTCATTTAGTTGAGTTCCTAACCATCCAAGCTAGGGTGCTTTTTGTTACAATCTCACTTAAGCTTTTATAATGTTTCATAATTAAAAAAGGATTGTATAAAAATTTCTTTTTAGTTATATAAAATATAATCCTTTAATATAATATTTGAGACTCCGTTTGCTAGAAAGTCGCCAAAAGACAAGCTTATGTGGCCTATATTAAGGTGAGATGGCAAGTCTTTATTGGTTGCTTATGTGGCAAATTTTATTAATGATGAATTGACCTTTCTTTTTATTTTAAAATCGAAATTTAATAATGATTTCAAATTTTGGAAAAAGTCTACGTTAAAATATTTAGTACAAATAAAGAATTCATTATTTCGTGATATTAGTTGAGTATTTATATTTTTTATTTTTAAAAAGCAATTCATCTATTTATTTGTTATGATGTGATAAAATTAATTATGTTATAAAATCAAATTTGTGAAAGATAAATGTAGTATTGTCCGAAATAGAATTTTTAAAGGAAAACAATTATATAAAATATAATTTTATGATAAAAATTATTATGATGTAGCAAACAATTAGTGAAAATATAAAATTGGTATTATCACTTACCATTTCAAGACTAGCATTTTTTATGAATCAAATTTTTAACTAAGTGCATACACAAAAAACAAAATTTTGATAATGATATATTCTCATTTAAGAGCATTCTTATAGAAAAGGATCAAATATGTTTATAATTGATCCTTTATTTATAAAATTGATATTTTAATCTTTAAGAAGCAGAGATGTGATATTGTTTAAGAGACATTTCTGACACGTAAAATATATTATAGAAAGTAAGAAGTTAATATTATTGTATGAAGTCTTTCGGTACAATTAATTATGGAAGAGAATATAGATATTCATTTTTATAATAATTATTTTCTAATTATGTATAATTTTCTATTCAATTATTACAAAACTTCTAAAAGTGTGTTTGGTGAGCAAAAAAA